GACACGACTCCATCCCGTGTGAAAATTCGAAGCTCCATCTGTATTCAATTTCACCCAATTTGTCGCCGGAGCAGCCCACCGGATCAGGCCCACCCTAAAATCAGAGACCCCGACGTGTCGATAGGCCTCAGCAGCTCGTAGGTAGTCCTCCACGTCCCTCAACACCGTCTGGTACATATCATCAACGTAGATGCTTGCTGTAGAAAAAATACGTTCGTTCCGCCATTTCCACAACCGCCACACCACCACCGCAAACAGGCTACTCCAATTGTTCCTGTCTCCCAGCCGCGGCAGTAGAAGATGACGGCGGATCCAATTCAAAAAATCGGGTTGGAAGAAATCGCTCACCTGAGCCACTGGAACTAGGAGCTTCCAAAGTGCAATAGCAACTGGGCACAAAGGCAAGGTGATCATTTATCTCCATATACTTTTGTACATACTGGTCTATGAAATTCTCACCATCAACGAAAAATCCCATTCTGGACACCTAAAAGGTATAAAAATATGCAAAAACAACCATACTCTTACTCACTTCTATTTGCCGATGATACCTTACTGTTCACAAAAGCATATAATGAGCAAGCCGATGATACCTTACTGTTCACAAAAACCAATACAATGCAATCACAGGCCAATGTGTGAATCTACATAAATCCTCAATTTTATTTAGCAAAAATACCCCCAGAATACCATAAATTAAATATGACAAACACTTTTGGGTATTCAGGCTCAAACCTCCACTAGGTATCTTGGGTTACCCGTGGGTATTGAAAAATCTAAGCTGGAGATTTTCTCTTACATTGAGGAATATGTTAAACAATAATCTTTCAAATTGGAAAAATAAGTTTATGTCTTTTGCAGGGAAAGAAATTATGTTAGAAGCAGTTCTAGATGCTCTACTTTTGTATGTCATGTCCTGATTCTTGCTCCCCAAGAAGCTTCGTACTATTATTGCAAAGCTTTTTGCTTCTTTCAGGTGGGAAATAAAGAGGCAAGCAAAGGCTCCACTCACTGTAAATCCTGGAACTTTCTTACACTGCCAAAGGAGAAAGATGGGTTCGACTTTCATGATATACACCACATGAATAAAACCTTAATCACTAAGCTGCTATGGAGACGATGCAGTAATCCAAACCTTCTGGTCAGCAGACCCCTCAAATCAAGGTACTTCCCACATTCTAATCTTCTGTCTACAAAGAAGCAACATAGTGCTCCTGGCTTTGGTTCAGGTGGAGGAATGAAATGTTCAGCTTCTCCTAAAGGTTCTTCTTCAAGGTCAAGCAGGGGAAAGATATGCACATTTGGGATCATCCTTGGATCCCAAGCTTGAAGAACTCCAAACCTGATCCTCACAACTTCTGAAGAAATGAGTTCACCCGAGTCCATAAGCTCATTGATTCAATAGGAAGGAGTTGGAATGTGGGTCTGGTTCAGAACTATTTTTCTGTAGATGGGAGTCAAGTCATTCTCAACATTAAAGGTTTAGACCCTCACTGCACTGACCTGCTTGTATGAAACTCTGTTAAGACTGAAAAATTCTATGTTGTTCTGCTCATGAGCATTTGGTTGAGGAAAAATAAAGGAAGTTCGATGTCCATGAATCTATCAAGTTGATTGATGGTGTCAAGAGTGCTAGGAAGAGAATCTGGTCCCTCAAGATTGCTGGAAATTAATGATTGGATATAAAAAAAAAATTGTTTTGTTTGGATTTTTTTGTTTGGTTTGGTTAGTTTTGTAAAAATTGGTATAGTTAGTTGTTAGTGGGTATACTAAAATAATATTGTAAATTAAATGATTAAAATTGATTTGATGTAAAGTAAGAAAGAGAAGATTTGAAGTGATAGTTAGTTAAAATTATGTGAGTGAATGAATAATGAATTAAGGTGGTGTGGTGTGTAAGAATGATTTGATATTATTTAATTATATTGATGATATTGATGGTTGTGGGGTTGAATTAAAGTTGAGTTAAATAAATAGTTGAGTTAAAAATGTTGGGATATTTTTGAGATAATTTTGTATCCAATCATACTCTAAAGATTTCATTTGAAAATGCTTCATCAATATTTTACCACTAAACCAGAAACTCATCCAGAGATTGATAACTATCGACCCTATCTGCAAGACCTGTGGGGCTGAACTAGAAACCTTGGAGCAATTCTTATTTCACTGCAACAAAGCCAAAAGGGTATGTGAGATAACAACTATTTCTTAGGATGGTTTGAATGATGAATCTAATTTCTTCAAGCACTGGGTTGGGTCAAGATTTGTAGCCTGAATACTTCTCCAACCTATGAGCATATAATCCAACTGACAACCTATTTGGTTTGGTGCTTGTGGAAGACCACGAATCTATGGGTTTTCCAGAACTTCTAGCTTACTGAATTTTCTATTGTTTTGGTTGTTTTCTCATTTTGGCAGGTTCTTTTGTTGTTAGCCTTGTGATTGTTGTTGGACTTTTTGTTCTTATCAATTTTCTGTTGTTATAGTGGTAAATCTGCTAGGTTTCAGTTGTTCAATGGCAGATTTAACTTTGATTTGTGCTGGTGGTTCTTGCTAGTGCAGTGTTTGTAGTATTTTTGGGTAGTTGGTAACCGAGTTACCCAGACTCGGGTCGTTATCAAAGGAAGGCTATTCGGACACGGATTCAAGCAACGATTGACTCACACAAGAAAAGAAAATAAAAATCCTAAACACTCTACTCGCAATTTGGGGGTTTGAATTAAGCTAAGAACGCAAGTTAAACTAAACGAGAGCAAGATTCAAATTATACAAGCAACACCTCAATTTGCAAGAAAAAGAAAAATAAAGAGAAAAATAACAAGGTACTCTTAGACCCGGGATGGAAAGAAGGCACTCATAGGTTCGGGAACATGCGATCAAGCAATAGTCACTCGTGAGCAATTAATCTCTCAATCAATTCTCGCTCACGCAATCAATAACAATATCACATAATCCCTAGCCTACGAGGATGATTACATAATCGACTCATGGATGTGCCTATCTTAACCCTAGAATAACTCTAATAAGTAAAGACAAGCAAGACTAACGAAATCATGAACCTTAAGCGAAGTCTCCACGTCTCTAATGCATCCACGAGAAGAAATAAATCGAAAAGTTGTAATCTTGATGGAGAA